TCCTGTGATAGGGTGGCAACAATGCTGCTTTGCCCCTGAATTTAAAGCAGAGTTGCCACTCTCATGTAGGATGTGCCTGCTAGCATTATAGTGGGCTGATCTTCTTTAGGCAATTGCCTAAAGTAGGTAGGCAACTGCTGAAGCATGAAACCTTTGGACCAGTGTTGCTTAAAATATTTCCATCATACTTGTTCCTGGAAGACGCCTGGAGTAAGGGGGTGCTCTAACAACTGCCAGGTGGTAAACCTATATATTTTTAACCACTGTCACCCACAAAGCATGTGTCTGCTGTATCTAATGTTAAAATCTGAATCACAAGTAGAGAAACTTGATAAAGAAAAAATGTGAGGCACCGTGATAGCCGTCCTTCAAACAAATGGTTAACAAAGATCAATATTTATTTCTTGCCTCTGTCCCTTCAGTAACCTTGGTGTAATGCATTTGATCTGTTTTAAAGCACAGAGATAATTTTTGCATAGCCTTCTTTGGATCTTTATCAATATCCAGTGCAATGTATTGATTCAGATGCAGGTAAACTGTGTTCCATATCAGTGGTGTGGAAACACATTAATGATTTGTTTCATTGGCCTTCTGAGAACTTCTATCGTCTTCTCTCTAGGAGGTCCTGCATCTGTTTTCCATTTCCACTTTTCCACCAATAATTGGATACATTTCCTCTAAATTAGTGTTGCTCCTTGTAAGGCATAGATTCTAATATCAAGAGATGGATTACCTTAGTTAAATGCAGTGTAAACACACCAATCTGAACTGGACATTGATGTAGGCCTTAGCATGGCTATAGAACAACTCATGGCTTTCCTCTAAAAGACATCAAATAAATGTAGACCTCCTTGAATGTATTCATACAGGTTTAAATGAGATTTCCAATTTTGTAAAGACCACTTGGTGGCATGTTGTGAGGATATACCTGTGGGAGTGAATATGTGTAGCACTGTGGATCTTTCTAGATAAATACTATGGATTTCACACTTATCTGAATTTGTTGGAAAGGTTCCTTGTGACTACTTGACTTAGGGAGAGACTTTGAAGTGGTTGGTCTCTCAATGGCTCTGCAAATATGGTGATTGGTGAGGAGCACTACAGAATAATTGTCTGAAACTTTCCGTTTCCAAGACATTATGGTTTTATTAGAAAAAGTATCTGACTATACAGCCAACGCATTTCAGGATTGTTCTTCTTTGGGGCTTCAGTAGTTTTATCATGTGTATGATTAAAGGGTCTGCCAGGAATTGGATGCTATTGGAGGTCTGTGCTGAATGTAGCAGTAATACTCTTGTTCTTGTGGCTGCATGCCTTGTGGCTGGTTTGGAAAGGGAACAAATCTGAAATATGCTAGCTCATACATGGTTTTATACTACAAAATAATGAAGCCCTTCATAACCTAAAGTGCTACGCAATGCTGCCCTCATGAGAGTCGCTGTGCTGTGGGTACCCCTAAGCTCTCTCTGCACAGCCAGGCAACATGTATTTCTCACACAGACTTGCATCCAAGATATAGTAACCAGTCCATGTGCTTTGTTTTTTTAGTTTTATTAGGGGAAATTAACTTGGATAGGGAAATAAGGATTATGGGATGCCCAGCTGACTTGAATCAATGAAGGGGAGAACAGCTTCCCTCCTATGTACAAAGTCAGATCCTGGACTGTTCTTTTCTTGAAAGCTGTCAGTCATTGCGGATCAGTAGCAGCTGCCCTTTATGGGCGAGGAACTAGCAGCTCCTCAAAAATCAGCTTAACTTCTCATATCTACATGCAGGGATATCTTCTCTCCCCCTGTAGAGCCGCTCCCAGCTCCATGGCCTGCAAACACTACCAGCCCTCCCGGCTTCTCGGAAGATCTCCCGGGACAAGGATAAAGGATTGAGCCCAGCCTTAGACAGTTTGCTACCTGTCACAATCTTTCCCCTTATAGATCCCAGAGAGTGCTGCTGTACGCACTCTGTCTTCTTTGCTCCCTGCTGCTCCAGGTCCCAATCCCATTTACACTACACTGCTGAATGTATCCTCCCAAGCCAGCCTGGGCACAGCCTGGAGGCTGCCCCCACCAGACCCAGAGGATCCCTCCCAGGCACCAACAGCCTCCTCAGCACTCCATCTTCCACCCAATTCTCCTGTCAGCCTGACTCTCCATATTTATGGGCCAGTCCACCACTCAGGCCTCCAAACCTGGGATTGTCTGGACTCCCATAAACATGCAGATTAGGTCTCCACCCCTTCCTGCTTACCGACTTCTGGAAGGTTCTATAGTCCTCCAGAGTCAGGAGGAGGCGATAGAGCCACAACCTGTTAAGTCATCAAACTGACCTCAATCACAGACTCACACTTACCAAGAGTCATACACAATGATTTTACCTACAATACTACACTCTTCTAGTAGCACACTGGAGGGTGCTACAGTTATACCTTGAAAGGATTCATAATTCCATATGTCATAGTCTCATAGCTTAAAGCAGCCATTCTTAACTAGGGTTCATTGAGCTGTGGCTGACTGACCAACCCCTCCCGCCCCATCTGATCATCTGATGGTCCCTACATAGTTCGAGGCCAATGCTATTGGCACAAAAGTAGCAGGGACCCAATGATCTTTTTAGCTGCCTATAAGGGTGGCATTCTAACCATTACTGTCAAGGCTGCATTCTTCCTACTAACCACCAATATGGGGGCTATTTTTCCCATTACCCCAGATGAATTGCATTTAGTAAAGGTTCCTCAAAAACTAAAAATTATTTTAAGGTCATTTCTCTGGGCAAAATGGTTGAGATAGGTTGGTTTAAAGGATTCATACTACTGTGTATCAATCACCACAGTTTCTGCAGTGATAGTTGATTTGTTTGCTCCTGGTGCATCTTTCTGGCAGTTACTGCTCAGTTGTTCTGGCCCTGGTATCCTCGGAATTGATGTGCTGAACTTTCCCTGCGTCTTGCTGCTTTCCTGCTCCTTTAGTTCCTCCTGCATGTACTTTTGCTACTATGTCTAGACATGTGCACAAGCATTTCTTTCATGCCCTCAGCCATTCTGTGCACCTTGTGGGGCATTATGAAAAGCACCTAAGTGTCATTAGCATTCATTAGCATGCCTGCTAACTAGTGGTTTTCTTTTTAATGGCAAGTTGTCCATGTTTCTTGCATAAAGGTAGGCCCACTGCAGCTTTGCCTGTACCAGGGCTGGGACAAGGGGTGGCCAAGAGGGACAGCTGCCCTGGGCACATGGAGCAAGGGGTCAGAGAATGAACACAGAACAGTCAACTGATTCTAAGACATGCATTAACAGTGGGCGAGGGGGGTGCAGTTTTGCATCCTTGCCTTGGGCGCTAGATGAACCTGTCCTGGTTGTGGCCTGTACACAGAGGAATATGAGAGGGAGGTTGCACAAAAGACTGCGATCGTAGCTCTAATGAAGCCTGCTATATCTGCCTCCATGGGGATTTCGTACAATTTAGTTTGGGGTAAAACAAGTGGACTTCCTTAAACTGCAAAGGCATTTCGAATTCATTGATTTATTTTAAGGGTCTAGAATTAATTTAAGCAGATGAAAAGCAACAAGAACCTAATATTATCCCAGTATCTGACACTTCCGACCACATTGATCTCACTATTTATACAAATGTGACTCATGTTATAGATCACTGCAGTGCTTTGTAAAGATGGAAAAGACGTCCTAAACACAAAATAATTTCCTGTGAAATTAGAAGGTTCCTTCATTAGTTTGTGTTTCCTGTACGGGGTCATGTGCCCAAGCGACATCCACTTCCTCCTGCCTAGAGGATATTTGCCATGCGATTTGTCATGACCCTCTTTGCGCTGTTCTGTTCACACAGAGGCAATTAAAACAGTTTAAAAATATGACTTGGAACTAAAATAAATAGGACGAGTCGTTGTTTGCTGGAGAAGTATGAAGTCATCTGACACAAATCCCGTTCTCCAAAAGAATTCTCTTTGAAATAGTGAAGTATCTGGTAACATATGTTTGCCATCAGAATTGGAAGGGAAATGTAAACTTCAACAGAGTTAAAGATGAGTGAGAGAAGTTTAAAGCTGAACTCCAAGTGGATACAAAAGCCACAAATTAAAGTGATTCTAAAGGCTTATTTGAAAGAAACCCCCCAAAAAACCAAAACATGTCTATACTTTTGCACAGAGAAGCCCCGATCCTCCTCTTCTCAGGTCCCCCCGCATGCTCTCCTGGCCCTTCCCTCCTGTCAGGTGCCCCCACAGCAAGCAGCTTGCTATGGGGGCACCCATTGCTCCTTGTGTCCATTCACACTCTCGTCGGCCCTGCCCCCTCTCTCTTCTCATTGGCTCATGGGCTGTGATTGACAGCAGTGGGAGCCAGTGGCTTGTGAGCCATTGGCTCCCACTGCTGTCAATCACAGAGCTGCATTAAAGTGGTTCTAAAGGCTCAGGGTAAAAAACCTTCTCTGTGCCCCCCCAGCCCCCCCCCCCCTAATACTCACCTAAGCCCCCTCTTGATCCAGCGATGTGAACTGGAGTCTCGGTTATCCCTGGACTCCCTCTCCTCATTAGCTGAGCTGTCTCATGAGGAGAGGGAGTCCTGGGATAGCCGAGACTTCAGTGGGTTTTTTGGGGGTTTCTTTCAAATAAGCCTTTTTAGTGGGGGCTTAGGTTGGGGGGAATGCAGCACAGAGAAGGTTTTTTAACTTGAGCCTTTAGAACCACTTTAATGCAGCTCTGTATTCATTAATAAATCAATAAAGGAGATGTATGGATAATAAAAAAATTAAACATACACTCAACTCAATGCTGCAGCATTGGTGTGTTGCTGCAGCTGTTCCACATTGGCTCTAAGCCCCAGAACTGAGTGAACACTGCTGACTCAACATATGCCCCACAGTAGATCCATGGATGACATCACCACCCAGGCTCGGCAGCCATTGTTACTGCTGTCTCCTCTACCCTGAAGCTGGTAGCTGAGGAGATCAAGTGACCGGACTGGACGCCCTTAGATTAGATAAAATTTAGACATCTTTCCTCTACTGCAGGGGTCTCCAAACCTTCTAAACAAAGGACCAGTTTACTGTCCTTCAAACTTTAGGTGGGCTGGACTGTGCCCAATGGGAGTAAACAATGCCCTATCTTTGCTATTAGGGGGTAAAAAAGTGCCCCATCATTGGTGTCAGTGGGAGGAATAGTGCCCCATCATTGGTATCAGTGGGAGGAATAGTGCCCCATCATTGGTGTCAGTGGGAGGAATAGTGCCCCATCATTGGTGTCAGTGGGAGGAATAGTGCCCCATCATTGGTGTCAGTGGGAGGAATACTGCCCCATCTTTGCTATTAGGGGTAGAAATAGTGCCCCATCATTGGTGTCAGTGGAAGGAATTTGTCCTATGGTTGGTGTCAGTGGCAGGAATAATGTCTCAAGTGCTGGACAATGGCAATCAAAGGGCCACAGTCTGGAGATCACTATTCTGCTGGGTAAATAGTATAAGGCTTACAATGGGGATGGGAGCAGGTTCAAGCTTAGACATGTTTAGACAGGGCTTCTAGTTTAATATTAATTTCATTATTAACCCTCCTACCTGAACCTTGTGTTTTTCACATACATAAGATGTGCACTGAACATGTGGTTTCAAGGTGTCATTTGTTGCCTTGTACACACAGCCTGTAGTAGAAAAAAATCTTCACATTTCTGGTGTCAGCAGTTTCTGTGTGTGTTCCAATGTGAGGCTTGTGGCCAGGGGCGGACGGGCAACTCATGGGGCCCCCGGGCAATAGGGGATCATGGGGCCCCTGTGTCCTTGCCTAAACTCAAAAAAGCCTATGAAAAAGGTACCAGGGGCATCTCATGTGGCCCCCTACTGACCCTGGACCCTCGGGCAGTGCCCGAGTTTCCAAATGGTCAGTCCACCCCTGCTTGTGGCATGGCCCTGCAAAGGTTAATGCGTAATCTGTAGTGTGAGAACTGACACTTTCTGTGAAGAAACCATATATCCCACAATCACTGGTCTCTCAATCTAGTGATCTTCAGGTGAGAAATACCAGTAATTAGATCTGATACAGACAAAAACAGGCAGAGCATTTACCAGAGAGATCACCAGGCAGTGTTTCATCACAGTAGCACTGTGATGCATGCAACACAGGGTAAATGATGAGGCATACATTGGGCACTGCATAACAAGACGTTGACAGTCTCTTTAGCAAATAGGGACAGGCTAGTTGAATAAATACATGGACATAAGGGGAATCGATCAATTCTACAAACTACAGCCACGACATGTGAACCCATCATTACAAGGGAAAGCAAACAAACAATACAGGGCATATAACTACACTAATACCTAGATAAAACAACAAAAACATTTGAAAGTGTACAATGCCTTTAAATATTTACACAAACCCAGGCGCCAAATATTGCTTTAACAAATGACAGTACCTGAATTTGACTTGGTATCAGAGAATGTGCAAGGGATCTCAAGTCATTTTAGCCTAGGCTAGATTTAGGAAGTTTCACTTTTTACTTTTTTTTTTTGCTAGAGGGAAGGGGGATGTGCAAAAGGGAAACGGCAGGAGAGAGGACCTTAACATATGAGTAAAGTTCCATTTAAATATACTCCCTACAAGACACACCCTTTAATGGAAAAAAAAATGAAAGTTCACCTAAGGCCTCATATACACTGGATGCTTTGGCCAACTCAGCTAGACACCTTTCTCCTGGCAGCAGAGAAAATGACTCTTGTAAAAGCGGTAATGCATTTAGGCACATGAATTGCTTGGCTGTTAATTCATTTAATTGGCCAGAATAATAATTTATTCTGGCCATTGAACTGAATTACTTCTTAAGCACTAAACGCGCCTACGTTAACAAGTGTTTAGACACGTTTACACATGACAAGCGTTTTTCTGCCAAAACGCTCCTCTCCTGAACGTGATTTTGATATGTTCAGATTTCTGCCCCTAAATGCCCCTGCCTATGAATGCCTCTAAATGCCTATGCATGTATGGACACTTTTTTTTCTTTTGTCCGCAGAAAAAAACCCGTAAGTGAACAAAAAACGTGCAAGTACAAAACACCAACACAAAAAAGTGCACTTAGGGGTGTGCTTTGTCCACCCCCGAAGGGGTAGGACCTCTACCCTGATCGGCCCAGGAAGCGAGTCTCATGACAGGGGCAAAGTGTTTCCAAAATGGTCCACCTAACCAAAAGGCCTGGTGGACCCCTTTCATTGTGGCTAGCCGAAGCCGACCACTAAGTACTAGGAGCTCTTCTGAAGACAGACCTCCCCCAGGAACAGTGGAGGAAGGAACCTAAGGGCCAAACATCCTCCCCCTAGACTTCAGGGCAGGCTGAGGACCCATAACCTCCAACCAAGTGAGAAAAAACACACACATAAGTGACAGGTAACAAAACAGAGGAGAAAAAAAATAAATAAGTGGCCCTGCAATAGTGCACTGGCTAGGCCCTGAGGCCTGTACCAAAAAAATTGCCCTAGACTTAGCTAAAAGGCGCAGTGCAGATAAAGTGTTTGGAACAGTGACCATATATATTTTTCACATGTGGGATCCCACCCCCATGTGTTACTAGGAGCACCCCTGGGGCGACCACTCTCAGGGGGCACTGCTCTCAAGGGGCACTCTCTGCCTCCCCGGCCCCTGGCCAGACAAGGTAGATGCATGCAAAACAGTCGACTAGGAGCTCAAATGTGCATCAGGAAGGTATTGAAAGTTTCCAGCATTGTGATGATGATGACATCAGTAATTTCATGAAAGAAAAAAATTATGCTGAATTCACTTTGCTCCAAAAAAAAAAAAAAGATCAAAGTCTTTAAATTTCGAAGCTCTGTGCTGCCCCTTTAACCCTGCTGCCCTAGGCACTGGCCCACAAATTCCATCATAGTAAATACAATCATGTATAGCAGCTAGATGTTCAATTCAGTATAACAGGAATATTTGGAACATTATCCTGAATATGATCATGTGTTTACTATTCTCAAAAGAGCTCTTGTTTGGTGGGAAATTACTTATTTTCCCAGGAAAACAGGAAAAAAAAAAAATCAGGCAGGAAAAAAAAAGTCATTTTTGTTTCAGACTCTGTGTGAATCTGTTGGGGAACACTGTGGATTTATGCAAATGAGCTTCTGAATATTCTACAAATTAGTCAATCAAATGCTATGAAATTAACCGAGGAGATAAAAGGTAATGAGTCCTCATTAGGTAATTGTACTAAACTGGAGTGAAAAGCTTTTGGGTAATTGTCTAATGATTGCAGCACAAAGGAAAGGATAAAGGGGAATATTTAGTGAATTAATATGGATAACATTAAAATGCTATTATGTGCTTATAAAAGTACCTTCTATCATCACTGCTAATTACATCATATAATAAGCCTGTGAGGAGGAGCAAAATGGAGCGAGGCAGGAGCCATTGTCTGAAAACATGTACCAGCCTTGACTTTTGTCCTACATTGTTATACAATTTTATTATGCTTTGATTATGCTCTGTTTTACATCCATTTATTACCTATAGCATTAAAGTAACTCAAATGCTTGAAAAAAAGGAGATGGACAAAAAAAAAAAAAAGAAATAGCTTTCAAAAGAAGACTCTTAGGGGCAGGGGCGGACTGACAACTCATGGGACCCCCGGGCAATAGGGGTTCATGGGGCCTGTGTCCTTGCCGAAACTCAAAAAAGCCTATGAAAAAAGTACCAGGGGCATCTCATGGAGCCCCCTATTGACCCCGGGCCCTCGGGCATTGCCTGAGTTTCCAAATGGTCAGTCCTCCTCTGCTTAGGGGTTGATTTAATAAAACTGGAGAGTGCAAAATCTGCTGCCCGAGGGCCTGGGGTCAGTAGGGGGCACCGTGAGATGCCCCTGGTACCTTTTTCATAGGCTTTTTTGAGTTTGGGCAAGGACACAGGGGCCCCATGATCCCCTATTGCCTGGGGGCCCCATGAGTTGTCAGTCTGCCCCTGGTCCCTGCCTTCTGGTTTTGATGCACATTCTGAAAGTAGCTAGTGCAAGGGGAGAGACCCTGCTATCTAGAGAAAGAAATTAGCAGTAGGGAAAGGTTCCAGACAAGAAGGGACAGGTTAGGGACTTGCTACTACCCTGTAAGGATACCTCCCCGCTTGGGACCAGACAAGGTCACACTTCAACCTTTGAGACAGATGCTGTCAGCACCACGCCTCAGTCACATCTTGACCTACACTGAACTGTGAGTTATTCCCTAAGTGGCGTGCTCTCGCTAGGGTGTTTGTAGCTTTGGCATTGTGCGCAATACAAGTTTCAAGTTTGTTACAGCCGAACATTGTGTGATTACTGGTGCCGCACCACCACTGCACCCACGAGCTTCTAATGGGATCTCACATGCATGGACCAATATAACGCTGTATAAAATATCCATACCTGGAATTCTTCTTTTTAACCTCCCTAGCGGTATTCCCGAGTGTAGCTCGGGGTAAAATGTCAGTACCAAAAGCGGTAACCCCGAGCTACACTCGGGCTTACCATGCGGCGCTGCATAGGGAGTCCCTGCAGAGCTTACCTTGTCCTTCGCTCCAGCGATGTGTCCCCTGCAGCATCCCCGGCCATCTCCTCTGGCCGATGCCGGCATCCGGCTTCTGTGTTCCGGTCCCTGTGACGTCGGGACGTACGGGCGGTGGCGGGAAATTTGAAAATTTTAAAAATTTTCATTTTTTTTCCAAACAATTTTTACATAGTAAAACATTGCTGTTTCAACCCATTTCACATACATGTTGTCCCGAGTCCTTTGTCCTGTGCCCTGCCTGCATTTTGTCTGTTCTTTCTGCCTGGAAACTGAGAACAGTCCATGGCGTCCAAAAAGTGTCCCTTTAGGTCAAAAGCGGGTTTAGACCAGCAAGAGAACAGCGATAGTAAATTAGAACCACTTGCAGAATTGAGTGATAATGATTTGTGGGGGAAATTCGCCATCAGTGAAAACGATTTTGCGACTTTGCTCAGCAATGTGCAAACTTGGCGCTATATTTAAAATTTCAGTGTTTTCGGTTTGATTATATTATTGAATTAAATGTATTATTATTATATCATTTTTATGATTATTTATTAAATTGTAATTTATGATTTCGTGTTTCAAATTTTATCCTACCCGGGATGTTTACTAGACTCTTGTTCAGACAGATTTCAGGAGTTATTCCTAAAAATTACAGCCTACAATAAAAAAAAACGACATATTTCCATGCAAAATAATGGTACCGCTTTCAGCACCAAAAATCTGAAATAATCATACCGCTAGGGAGGTTAAAAAACACCACTGCTTATTATACACCGTGCATTAGCAAACTAAATATCCATCAAGTAAAGCAAAACTAGACTTTCACAACAAACTTTTAAAATCCGTTTGCTGCTAGCATTAAAGCATAGATTAATAAATAGATAGGAAGGTAGATTATATTTACTTGTCTTTCTGGTTTCTGGTTTAGGCCAAA